ATATATATATATATATATATATATATATATATATATATATATATATACACACACACACACACACACTAGTTTATAACCCGTGAGAATCACAGTTACAAAATTAATTAAATTTTGATAGTAAAAATTTAAAATTATTAACTAATTATTTTAAATAAATTATTAGTTAAGATATATTTTTTTAATTATATAAAATTATAATTGTTGATTCAAATAAATACATGAAATTATATCACCTTATAATCTATTTTAATTTTATTTAATTTTTTTTGTCTAATGTTATTAATTTAATGTAATTAAAGTGGAAAATTTAAAATTTGAAATTGAGAATCAATAAATTAACAAATGACATGACATTAATTAGGAGGCCTAATAGGATGATACATGACAAAAGAACTATTCTTTTATTAGTATGAGGACAATATCGTTAGATCCGACAGGATCTGACGCCTTGATTGGCTAAACGTGCTCCTCGTATTGCCAGAGCTAGCGATAAGTTCATTGGTTTAGGTAGTAATGCTTAAAGCATACTCATTGTCGCTGGTAGCCGTTAGGTTTGTCGCGGAGTGGAAGGCGCCCGCTGAGGGCCAAGCCTTCCACGTGGTCACCCAACTCTAGAGGGGCGACCGCGGGCGCGTGACTTTGTCGGGACGTCTGTGCTGGGAGTAGCTTGGCCTGGCGGCCTGCCTAGAGGCATCTTTAGCGCGTACTGAGCACGGTTTCTAGCTTGTGCTAGGGGCACGTTATCACATGGTTAAATACAAACTAAATGGCCTAACTATATTAAAGGTGCACATTTCAAAAATCGATTTTTTAATAATCGACCAGGTTTTTGATAACCGGTTCGACTAACCAGTTTTTAAAAAACCAAAACCAGCCTATGTGCATTTCTAAACTATACAAATACAACAAATGTTGTGAGGAACAACGGAACCTAAATAGGATGAAATTGTTAAGAAAAATTAACAAATGCATCCTAATTAATTTTTGCTTACATTATTTGGCAAAACAAAATTGGTATTTTAGTTTGTTTTGAGTTGGGTATTTTAGTTTGTTTTGAGTTCGGTAACAGGCTTGAATCTTGACTTTCAAATTTGAGTGGTTAAAAGTCAAGACGGAGATTATAAGGTAAAATGACTTAAATATAAAAGTCTCGGGTTAAATTTGACTCTCATATTATAGTCTAGGGACCATAAATGTAAATAAGTGTAATGACATTTGATTTCCACTATTGCACAATAGGGGTGAGCAAACCCAAACAAAGAAACCGAGAAACTGACTAAAACCGACGAAACCGAAACCGAAGCAAAACCGACGGTTAGAGTTTGAATTTTTTAAAAACCGAAAAATCGGGTTCGGTTTCGGTTTTTACCCAGAAACCGACCCATCCAACCCGAGAAACCGACCCATACTTAAAACCGACAAACCGTCCCAAGAAACCGACCCATACTTGATTATGTTTTGGTTGTAATAGACTATTTTGAGCTTTGGTTGTAACTTGTAATAGACTATTTGTTGTAAGACTCATGTTTTTTTTAAGTATTTAACTTCAATTTGGTGTTTTTTGAAGTATTTAACTTGTTGCTTCATTTATGGAAAATGGGTTAAAACCCAAAAACTCATGGGTTTAAACCCAAAACCCATGAGTGTATGGGTTGAACCCAAGAAACCGAAAAACCACCCAACCAGAAACCGATCGTATTGGGTTCTGAAAACCAGAAACCGACTATTTATGGGTTGGGTTGGGTTGGGTTTGGGTCCGACCCAAACCAACCCATGCACAGCCCTATTGCACAACAATATACAAAAATAGTCTAATAGTCAGGGACGAACGCAGGATTTCATAGTAGGGGTTGCACGGTAATAGAAAATTTTCGAATTTTTTTTTCACTATGGCTGGAAAAATCAGGGGTTGCCGGTGCCACCATGGACCCCCTAGGTCCGCCCCTGCTAATAGTGTACGTATAACGTATTAGTTTTGTTATCCCTTTTAGTTGTTATCTCAATTTTTGATCAATAAGTTCAACGGGATGCGAGTGTACTATTTATTTATTTACCAAAATGTTTAAATGCCAAGTTTTTTTTTTAATTCCAATGAAACCACATTACCTGAAATTAAATTCACCATTTTTGTTTATACGTGGGCTGAAACCAACAAAACTTTGTCAATCAGTGTGAAAGGACTCACAAAAAGGGGCTTTCGAACACAAAGAAAAGCAAGGTATAGGCCTTTTCTTTGACTAAATGAAGATGAAAGCCACAAGAAGAACACAAATAATAACAAAAAAGAAGACCAAATCTGTGCCCAAAGGCTAAAGTTTGGAATAAAAATGAATAAAACTTGCAAGAAAAGTTTACCATCTCTTAAAATCAAAGAACAATGTATCAATTCTCATCATCTCCTATATATATTACCTAGCAATTTCTCGATTATATAACAAAAACTAAACATCTATTCTTGATATTTCACTTAAAAAAACTTCATTATCAAATGGCATATCTCCCAGGAAGAACAACACCTTTTGGTGACAAAAAAAGCTCAAGTAGTTTAACATTCGAAGAATTCGTCCCTCCTTCCGCATGGACAGAAGAGTCAACATACCATTACCTCCTTGTCGATCTTCCGGGTATATTAAACTTTCATTACAAATTTATTTCAAAAACTTTACAAATATTTCATATTTCTATTGTTATTAGTTATTATTATCTTTAATTGTAGGTTTCAAGAGGCAGGAGTTAAAGCTTCAAGCCGATAACAAGACTCATATAGTGGTTAGTGGAGAAAGGCAAGAAAGAGAGAACAAATACAAACGATTCGAGCAACGTTTTGAGTTGCCAAAGAATGCTGACGTGGACAAGATCACGGGGAAGCTCGATGGCGAGATTTTATATATTAGTGTTCCGAAAAAAATAGAACCGCAACACCAAGAAATTAAACATGGCAGTGAGATCGAATCAGAACCAGAACCAGAACTAGCATCAGCATCAGTACTGGAATCCGAACCTGAACCGGTGTCTTCAGACGAAGAGGATGATGATGACAAGAAATCAGATGCAAATGAAAATGAAAGTGATAAGAAAGATGGTGAAAAGGGTATTGAAAGAAAGGAAGATAAAAGGGTTTTTAATGAAGATTGGGAAAAAGAGGCTCATTTATATTTGAGAATTGCGATTGAAAAAATAAGAAAGAATAAAGGGATTGTTGTGACAGCAATCTTTGCGTTCTCGTTAGGGGTGATGGTAAGTCAGAAGTTTCAGTCAAATGGACAGACAGTAATTATATGATATGACAAATATATTTGTAAACGTTATGCGAATAAAATATATGTAACGTAAATTGTGAATGTATTAAATAATAATGTTTCGGTTTAATTAAAATGTAATCTTGAAATCGGATGAAAAAAGGTAAATTCTTCATGATCATTGTTACCTTAAAGAAAAACACATAAGTATCAATGCTGTTTTTTTTTCTTTTATCTACAAGGATCAGATGCCATAGTATAAACTAGTATAAGGGTAAAACAGACATTTACCCACCTGTTGAAGGTACTCTGGAAACATTTGAAATAGACAATCTTTTTTGACCTAAGAGCCTTGACAAATTTAAATGACAGCTAATGGGTAAGTTTGAAAATTGATGAACAGTGTCCCTTGATCAAAGGAAGAGGTTTGAAAAAGGGGATGCTTTTTTTATCCAAAAAAACCTTTTTCATGGTGCTTTTTTGACATGAAAAAGAAGAGGGGGGATGTGGAATCGTGTGCCTTGGAAGAATATTAGGGTTACAAGTGGTGTAAGATAGTGATTTTTATTTCTACAAAATGGAGTTGGAGTGAATGAGAATGTAGATTGATTGATGATGTGTGTGTTTGGGACAAAGAATCTAATGCTTATGTGTTATGTCCACAACAAGAATTTACTTGTTTGGCTAAAAAGCAACATATTCAAATTCTTTTTTAACTTCTTCACTACATCATCAAGACAATATATATATATATATATATATATATATATATATATATATATATATATATATTCTAAAATCCTCCCAACAGAAAACATAAAAATATAACCTTTATTTTTCATCATCAATCATTTTCATTTTGGTAATCTTGTTTTAGTGAGCTAGATGTATAGAAAATTGAAGATTATAAAGATATGTAGTAGTGATGAATTAAATCCAAAAGTAAATGATAAATTTTAGAAAATAATATAACAAGTTTTTAGAAAATAATATAATTTAACGAAACCCGATTAAAAATTAAAACTAAAAAAGTAGAATGCAACCTTCTTGAAGAGGGTATGGAATCTAATCTTAAACAACCTAAAACATTCTCTTCCAAATCTTTGCAGATATGCAAAAACATTCCAAATTTGTTTGGCATTTTAAAATACATATGGTAGTTTAAAATATGTATTTTGGATATAAAATATTAAAAAATACATGTTTTAAAACATATTTTATACGATTAGATTGTAAGTTTTACGCAAAAAAGAATAAGAAGATGATAAAAGACAGAGAACGCACTAGGGGAGAATTAAAAAAGTGGGTAGAGATGATTTTTGCTTCTTGAAAAAAACAAAGATCAAGAAAGGCACCTCTATCGTTTCCAAGACCCACCACCACCGATGACACCATGACGACGGAGCAACAGCAACAACCACCACCACCACAGCCGCCGCCGACAAGGCCAGTTCGGAGATTAGTTGTGGATGTTGTAGAGGCGCGTGATCTGCTTCCAAAAGACGGATTAGGCAGTTCGAGTGCTTATGTTGTTGCGGATTTTGATGGTCAGAAGAAGAGGACGTCGACGATTTCAAGGAGCTTGAATCCTGTATGGAATGAGAGCTTGGAATTTGTGGTTTCCGATCCGAGCACGATGGAATATGAGGAGTTAGAGATAGAGGTGTTCAACGACAAAAGATTGAGCAATGGCAGCGCTAGGAAGAATCATTTTCTAGGGCGAGTGAAGTTGTATGGAAGTCAGTTTGCCAGGAAAGGGGACGAAGGTTTGATCTATTTTCAATTGGAGAAGAAGAGTGTTTTTAGTTGGATTAGAGGTGAGATTGGTTTGAGAATTTACTACTATGATGATCTGGAAGTAGTCGCCGATCAGGAGCCGAATAATGACAATTCTCAACCGCCACCGAGTGAGAAGGAGGCGCCACCACAACAGCAGCAGCAGCAGGAAGGGAGGCAACAAGAGGATGTAAGAATGGAAGGTCCTGCATCGACAGAGGTTGTCACGGAGAATTCACATCCACCGCCGATGCCTACAGGAGAGGAAGCTCCACCGGCAGTGACAGTACACATGGAAAATCATCATAATCAGCAACATCAAGGGATTCATCCACCATTTCATCCGGAATATCCCCCGGAAATTAGGAGAATGCAGGCAGGCAGAGTTGGAGTAGCAACTGGAGGAGGTGACCGAGTTAGAGTTTTGAAACGCCCCGATAATGGAGATTACTCGCCACGAGTGATACCGAGACGATCTGCAAACGGAGAATCTGAGAGAATTCCGGCGTACGACTTGGTTGAGCCGATGCAATATTTGTTCGTAAGGATCGTCAAAGCTCGTGGACTCTCACAGCACGAAAGCCCCTATGTAAGAATCGGTAGTTCCGTCCGATCAAAGCCAGGGATTCCAAAACCAGGTGAGCCGCCTTCAAACCCAGAGTGGCACCAGGTATTTGCTCTCGCATACAACAAGCCGGAATCCGCCGATTCCTCGACTCTTGAGATCTCAATTTGGGATGCACAATCGGAGAATTTCCTCGGTGGTGTATGCTTCGATCTCTCCGACGTTCCTGTTCGTGATCCACCAGACAGTCCGCTTGCTCCGCAGTGGTACCGCCTCGAAGGCGGCGACGACCCTAACGCCGCCGGAAAAGTTTCCGGGGATATACAACTCTCTGTTTGGATCGGAACTCAAGCCGACGACGCATTCCCGGAATCATGGAGCTCCGACGCACCATACGTTTCACACACTAGATCAAAGGTTTATCAATCGCCTAAGCTATGGTACCTTCGAGTTACAATAATGGAAGCTCAGGACCTCCAGATAGCCTCAAATCTTCCTCCATTAACAGCGCCGGAGGTTCGAGTCAAAGCACAGCTAGGGTTTCAGTCCGTAAGAACAAAAAGAGGTGTAATGAACAACCACACGGCGTCGTTTCACTGGAATGAAGACTTGGTGTTCGTCGCCGGGGAACCACTAGAAGATAGCTTGATCTTACTCCTAGAGGACAGAACGGGGAATGATCCAGTGCTGCTAGGACACGTCTTGATCCCTGTAGCTGCAATTGAACAGCGAATAGATGAACGCCAAGTGGCATCCCGGTGGGTATCGTTGGAGGGTGGTCCTGGAGGATCATATTGTGGTAGAATTCATTTAAGAATGTGTTTGGAAGGTGGTTATCACGTGCTCGATGAGGCGGCGCACGTGTGTAGTGACTTCCGCCCAACCGCAAAGCAATTATGGAAACCGGCAATCGGAATTTTAGAACTCGGAATTCTCGGTGCTCGTGGGCTTCTTCCTATGAAGTCTCGGGGAGGCGGAAAAGGGTCTACGGATCCTTATTGTGTTGCAAAATACGGAAAAAAGTGGGTCCGAACCCGAACCATAACAGACAGTTTTGATCCCCGATGGAACGAACAGTACACATGGCAAGTATACGACCCGTGTACTGTCCTCACCATCGGGGTCTTTGACAACTGGCGTATGTTTGCCGACATGGTAGAAGAAAAACCCGATTTCCGGATAGGAAAAGTCCGAATACGGGTATCCACATTAGAAAGCAACAAAGTGTACACCAATTCATACCCGTTGCTAGTTTTACAACGCACCGGGTTGAAAAAAATGGGCGAAATCGAGGTAGCAGTACGATTCGCATGCCCGTCATTGCTGCCCGACACATGTGCGGTGTACGGGCAGCCTTTGTTGCCACGAATGCATTACTTGCGGCCACTTGGAGTGGCCCAACAAGAAGCATTACGTGGCGCCGCCACTAAAATGGTGGCGGCCTGGCTGGCAAGGTCAGAGCCGCCGTTAGGTGCAGAAGTTGTTAGATACATGTTAGATGCGGATTCCCATGCTTGGAGCATGAGAAAAAGTAAAGCAAATTGGTTTCGGATTGTGGGTGTGCTTGCGTGGGCGGTTGGACTCGCGAAATGGTTAGATAATATTAGGAGGTGGAGGAATCCGGTTACGACAGTTCTAGTCCATTTGTTATATTTGGTTCTTGTTTGGTACCCAGATTTGATAGTCCCAACAGGGTTCTTATACCTCTGTTTGATCGGAATCTGGTATTACAGATTCCGACCAAAAAGTCCAGCTGGTATGGACATCCGTCTCTCTCAAGCAGAGACGGTTGACCCTGATGATTTGGATGAGGAATTTGACTCGTTTCCAAGTTCAAGGCCGCCCGAGCTAATACGTGCCCGATATGACCGGTTAAGAATGTTGGCTGCCCGGGTCCAGACTGTGTTGGGTGATTTTGCTACACAAGGGGAAAGGGTTCAAGCCTTGGTGAGTTGGAGGGACCCAAGGGCTACAAAATTGTTCATTGGGATTTGTCTTATGATCACGGTGGTGCTATATGTGGTGCCACCCAAGATGGCGGCGGTGGCTCTTGGATTTTACTTTTTGCGACACCCTATGTTCAGGGAACCAATGCCGCCGGCTAGTTTGAATTTCTTTAGAAGGCTTCCTAGTTTATCTGATAGGCTAATGTAGTGATGAGATATACAATAATGTTTGTTTGTAGAGGAACTTGGCCCCACATTGGGTGCTCCAAATTTTCAATGAAAATATGTTGAGCTTAATAAATAATGATATATTTTTCGGGAGTTTTATTCATTTTGCCATTCTTTTTCTTTCTTTTATTAATTATCTTCACCCAAGAAAGGAATTTACCTTTAGAAGATGAGAAGTTTGAGACCGACAATTTGGCACTTTTTTCGGGTCAAAGGGGACGTGGGGTGAAAGATGGTTTCATAATTATGATATAGCATAACCTTCCAAGTCCACATTGAAATTGGGCTAATGAGAGGCATATCACCAAAATTTGTGAATTGTGAGAAACCATTCTAAATTGAAAATCCTTAAAACTTCATTTTAACATGATGCAACATCATTTTACCATTGTGACATTTTCAAAACCATTCTGCTTAAAAAATGCTTATTTTGTTCGGTTTTAACATGATGCCAAAACAACATCATTTTACCATTTTGACCTTTTGAAAACAAACATATTTTAACAAAAATATGTTAGAAAAAAAAATCATTTTTACCTGACTTCAAAAATCCCCTTTAACGAAGTATGTTGCTATAAATTTTCAAAAAATAATCATTTTCTACAATTTTGACATGATGCTAAAACAATCACATTTTTATCATTTTGACCTTTCTAAAATAGTCTCCTTTTAATCAAAGTTTTCACATTGTAATAAATTTTTAATGTTACGTTTCAAATGACCCTTTAATGGAAGTATGTTGTTATATATTGCTTATTTTGTTCGATTATGACATGATGCAAAAACAACCTCATTTTACGATTTTTGACCTTTCCAAAACAGTCCCATTTGACCAAAGTTTGCTCATTTTAATCAAATTTTCATGTTACATTTAAAATGGCCCTGTAATGGAAGTATATTGCCATAACTTGCTTAAAAAATGCTTATTTTGATCGATTTTGACATGATGATAAAATAACCTCCTTTCAAAACCAGTCCCATTTTGACAAAACTTTGCTAATTTTAATCAACTTTTAATGTTACGATTAAAATGACCCTTTAATGGAAATACATTGCTATAAATTGCTTAAAAATGCTTATTTTGCTCGATTGTAACATACACGTTAATAACCTTGTTCGATTATCGTGTTTTGTAAAGCTT